AATGACTGGGGTCCCCTGTCAGCAGCTGTGCCGTGCAGCCACCTCATAATTCTCATGAAATGAAGGCAGGATGTCTCAGCCCCTCCTGCGCCCTGACCACGGGGCTGGTTCGAAACGGAGCCTGTAATTCTGCTGCAGTTTGTACTTGGCCTAAAACAGGGGAGGCCTGGTACGTAAATGAACCTGGTGCTACACTGAGCCCTGTGTATGCTGTGTAGACACCAAGGAAGGGAAGGCTGCCCCCAAAACACACATGGAGAAAATATGCACACTCCAATAAAATACACACAACACACAACTTACCAACAACATACACAATGCACACATAACATATACACAAAACACATACAGCCACAAAATACACAGCACACAGTAAAATATACCCACAAAATACAACACACAAACATACACATAAAAGACACACACGCTCCAAGAAAACATACATGCACACAAAGTATATACACATAAAGCATATAGACACCCCCATATACACACAGAAAACATAAGTTCACCAAACACACACAGAAGTAGCAAAATACAACCTGTCAAAAAGTGTGAATGGTGATGGCTCTATAAGGTTAAATAAGTGAAAAAAATGATCTAATAAATTAGATTCCTTAAAAGTCACTGTAAGCCCTGGCTGGGTAGCTCAGTTGTTTAGAGTGTAGTCCTGAGAAGTCTAGGTTGCGGGTTCGATCCTTGGTCAGGGCACATACAAGAATCAACCAATGAATTTATAAATAAGTGGAACAACAAACTGATGGTTTTTTCNGGCACATACAAGAATCAACCAATGAATTCATAAATAAGTGGAACAACAAACTGATGGTTTTTTTTCTCTCTCTCTCCCTTCCTCTCTCTTTAAAATCAATAAATAAAAATTTTAAAAAATAACCGTGCAATGCAAAATTTAAAAAAGCATATAAGAAAAATATGTATATGCTTTGACCCAGCAATTACACTTCTAGGACTTTATCCCACGAACATAATCAATGATGTCAGCAAAGGTTTAAGCCCAAGCACATTTAGCATGACATTGTATGTAACAGTGTAAAAATGAAAACCCAAATGTTCAACACTGGGGATTACTTTAATAAGGTTTATACACATGTGACACACAAACTGTCCCTTGTGCTCTTTCTCAACCTCCCACAAATAAAAATGCAAGTGAGTGAACAAAGAGCATCCTGTTGTGCATTGACGGTGGTCAGATTTCCAACTTTATTGAGGTCGTGTGTGGGGAGGCAATATCAGTGAGTCTGTGGTGGGTGCTCCACACCCACGACATCACAGCCCCTCAAAGAGATGACTTCTCTCTCTGCTCCCTCCCTGTGCGGGGCCCTGGGGGGTCTCTACAAGCCTGTTTCCTATACCCCCCCCACAGGGCGCCTCCCACCCCCTTCTCCTGAGCCCTGAGAACAGGAGTGCCTGCCTGGGAGGCAGTTTAGTGACTATTTTGACTTTGCTTTTATGTCATCTTTTCCTTCGCCATCTCATCCCCACCCCAAAGGTTTATGAACAAATTCTCCAAAGGTCTCTCTAGGAATTTAACAGACAAAATAAGGATTTTAATTCCAGCTGTCAAGGAAATAACATTTTTCCAGGTCTTTAGGTGAAGAATGGAGTACTTTGCAGCGATTAAAAAAAAAATAAAAATGTTGTAGCCCAGCTGGTGTGGCTCAGTGGCTGAGTGTTGACCTATGAACCAGGAGGTCATGGTTCGATTCTGGTCAGGGCACATGCCTGGGTTGTGGGCTCGATCCCCAGCAGGGGGCAGGCAGGAGGCAGCCGATCAATGACTCTCTCTCATCATTGATGTTTCTATCTCTCTCTCCCTCTCCTTTCCTCTCTCTGAAATCAATAAAAATGTATATAACCAAAAAAAATATATTGTAGAAAAGTATTGATCAAGTGAAATGATCGAGATATATTGAGTAGAAATAGCAAGATGCACTGTTAATAGGAAAGGCATGTTGTAAAATAACCTGTGCAACGCACTTCTCTATCTGCATGTTAGATAGATGTGTGTGTGGAAAGTGACTAGGAGAGACTGTGTAAGGGACGGAGCCACCACACGCTCAGAAAGGCCTGCGCTGTAACCCTGTGCTGCCTGTTACTAGGTTTTTGCTTAACCCCCGACACTGCTCTGTCTTTTGTCCGGTAAGCAGTGAGGACAGCCCTGCCAGCAGGATCATCAGAGCACCAGGGAGATAAAGACAGAAAGCCATGGGCTCAGCCCAGGCCCTGCAGCTGACAGCTGTGGTTGTTGCTCTGTTCCCGTGTTCAGTGGTGCTGGTGGTGGTGCCCAGAAGCTCTGATCTTACTTGGTTGTGTGGATTTTCGTCTGAAACGACTGGCTCTTTCTGGTGTTGTGAGGCAAATGCAATGCAAGAGACAAGGAAACACCGACAGGCTGTAGAGAGAAGCTGGTCGTTGGGGGCCCTGATCAAAGCTCCCTTGGCGGGGGGGTGGGGTT